TTCCGAGGCCGTCAAAAATATTCACCCATTGTGTATATATATATATATATATTAAGAATATATCTTATAGCAATGTCACCAGAAACAGTGTAAAAAAACCTTCCTGCACGTGTTGTTTTAATTACCTCAGTTGGGTCGTATTAATACCTCCCGCATTCTCACTTCGGCCTTACTAAATACAATATCAGAATTGGGAGATTTTATCATTGGGAAATAACAAACGGCAATCTCTGCTCTATCAGAAGAAATATCATCTCCGCATGCTCCTTCCATCTTCTGTTCGTCAAACAGAGTCCCACTGTCAAAGAATACAAATTCCAACATTGAACACTGATTATTTGTAGGGAAGGCATACAACGAGATGGCATTGAACACAACGTTGATGACCTCCTCGTACAACCTGGATTTTCTGGAGCTCTTAATACTTCGGCAGTCATTCATCACGGAAAGTATTTTATCAACAAGCGGCTTAACATTCTCGAATATATGTGACCGTAGGGAATTATAATTGACATCTCTGATCTTGGATGGATCGATATCAGCAGCTTGAACAACGGCAGCGTTATTGGTCAAATTGACCAACTCATGTGTAATAGCTATTCTATTTCTATTACCATTGCTGACTTTGTCAAAAGCGGAAATGGTTTCCTTGAAGAAGTTATTAGTATATTCAAAGACAAGTTCAAGAATTTTCCGTTGAAGTACACAGCTGAGAAGCAACTTTGGAAATTGTCCATCTACTATGGAAGAGGCGTCATATTCTCTCAATAGCTTCACACTAGCTTCCTTATTAATTGTAAAATCGGCGCCCTTGACTGAAGTGAAGACCTGTAGCGATCGTTGCAATGACTTTATTTGCTTCACAAGTTCAACCGATGTATGACAACTTTCCGTGGGTTGACGCTTCGCTGCTTGAAGAGCAGCATGAGCAACAAGTAGTTCCTCCTTCATCACCCTGTTTTCGTTCTCGAGGATTTCATTCCTTCTTCGTAGCCCGTCCGATAATCTTCCGATAGATTCCAATTCATCGGCCAAGGTGGTAACACGACTGGTGAGCTCCTTGTTGATGGCTCGACACTTGAGTAAATCCTCCACTTTTTCTTTGCCCTCTGCGGTATTAGATTCGTCCTCAAAACTCGAATACTTTGCTCGAAGTTTATCATAATTCAGTTTGAGTGTCTTATACTCATTGAACATATGAGTAAACTCGCTATCGCAATCCGCTACTTTTTTGTTGAGATCTTTAATGGTTTTTTCGCATTTTTCGAACTTTTCGGTAAGGTCGAGATGAAGCTTTTGTAACTTTTCGAGTTCTTCCTTCAGACTCTCGTTATCTAGCTTAAGACCGTTGTTCTCCTCGGCTTGTAGCTCTGCTTCTTTCGCCTGTTGCTGCATCGTCTCATATAGAGTGCGGAACTTTTGAGTTAACTCGGCAACAATACGGGGATATTCGGATTGTTTGTCAAGAGATGCCTTAAGTTCATTTATCTGGTATGATAGCTTACTGTTCGTCTCTCGAAGCGTTTCATTATCGTTTTCTCTCTGTCTGAATAATTCCTCAAGCTTTCTATGTGCTTCCACGACGCTTTCTTGTTTCTTTATACAAGCTTGAAGATTTGCGTTGTGTATTGTGAGTTTTTTGTTTTCGTCACATTTTGCTTGGAAGTGCGCGGTTAATTCTGAAGCTTCACCGGTCTCAGATAGGTGATTGAAATTTGCATTTACTGCTTCGTAGGCCTCTTCTAGTTCTCTATATTTTTCAAGCAAAGCCTTATTTTCTTGATTTAACTTGGCGATAGTCTCAATATCTATTTGACGAGGCTTGCTAGGAGCCTCGTCTTTATCCGTTTGGTCGATAGTTATGAAAGTCATGGTTGTTACAGTGCGAGCAAATGTGTCAGTTATTAAACTTTAAGTTTACTGTTTGTATATACGTTGTATGACGTTGAAATATAACAAAAAGGGAGGAATGCTGTTAAGGGAAAGAGAACCCGAGATTTGCGCTGAGCGAGTTCCCCGTCTATTTACTCCGCTGCGCAACTATCTGGGGTGTGAGTGAGGTATACCGTGAGAACACGTACATTATCGTCCAAACTTAACCACATAAGGAATTTTGTGTGATGGGAATCAAAGCAAATGATCGCGTGACAGTCATGATGTAACATATAATAATTAGAACGGATAGAACAAGAATGTATAGAGGCAAGCGAGGGAAGGGTTCATCATAACAATGGGACCCTTTCCCTATGTCATAGCTGCATTGTATTTCCAAGCTGCCCATAGATTGAGTACTACATTAATTAGTATAACAGTCTCCATAGCAACTAGTCACCGCCAACCAAATAATTATTAATATCAAGATGACTAAAAGCACATTTCTGATTTCACGTAACAGTTGCCTATTCATTGCAAGACACTGTTTACTAAACAGCTTAATGTTCTCTGTTTCATTTTTTTCTACATTTTCATTTGCTCCTTTTATTAAGCGTTCGTTCGTACTATTATTAGGAATTGAAAGCGATGCGCAGGAGCCACACGGAACTGAGTGATAAGGTAGAGAAAGAATGGTCGAGACATTTGAAGAGGATGTATTGGAAGAAAGCAAGCCTGGTTGAGAGTCGAACGAGCTCCTCCATGCCGGATGTAGATTAGCTGGAGATGGAAGGTGATTGGGAGAAAAGGCGAGTACGGAGGATGGAGAGGATGGAGAGGATGGAGTCGATTGCTGTTGTTCTTCTTGCCCTAGTTTATTATGAATTGTAGTCGGATGAGGCATGTCTAATGAGGGATTTTGCGCGGTGAGAGAATGTTTCGATGAATGGGTGGATGCGTCTATTGTGGGCATTACGTGGGAGTTGCGGATTGATCAATATGAGTAAAGGAGAGTTGAAAAGTTTGATTTGGTGGATGAGGATGAAATCTGGGATGGGAAAACATCTTTATTTAAGCCATTGTTACGTGGATACACAAATAATAGTTAAAAATATTGATAAAGAGTCATAATATTAACCATAAAAGTACTCGATCAAGGAAAGCCCTGTTAACTATAAATAGACAACTTGCGAGATGATCGTTGAAGGGTTGTCCAAATGAGAAAATGAGAATAAATAATAAAGTAATGTAATGAATATTATCACATTTTGATACAGCCCAACCAAAGCTTTGAAACTGTACTTGCTGTTCTTAAAATCAACCTAGCTCTTCTGTCTCATTCCGAATAGTCATAGGGATAAAATGTCGTCATTAGGAAATTTACAAAGTTGTACATGTTGAGATCGACAGTTAAACAAAAGGGTTTTTTATTCGATGAGATAATTAATTTGGGATGACAATGAAGGCTCTTCCCATATGACGTCTTCAAGTAAACAATGGTTACGATAGGGAGATGTCCGACGGAATGCCAAACATTGGATTAAATCAGAAAGCATAATATTTTATAAACATCACACGAGACTTGCATAACTGACTGGCTATGGTGAAAGGATGCAAGTTATAAACCGTATCGCCACTTAATAGGTTTGTTTTGATATTTATTTAGAGCTAGCGCTAGCCACACTGCATACCCTTTTGTGGAGGCATTGATATCCCTTTAAGGAATTATCTTTGATGTGAGTTGATCTCTACGTTTAAGCTTCAGTTTATTGACAGAGTCTACGCCATTCATGCTTAATACTAGTCAATCGACTTAATAAAATTAGATAAAATCTCCAAAAACTGATGTCGTTCGGCGTGTATTGTATGTTTCCCCTCATAGTGAATTATTTATACGGTAAAATTATGAACGTTTCCTCACTTTTTATTCTACTCGCACAAAAGATATGTGCGGGTTGTTTAACTTGTCGTTTCAACAATAGCCTTTTGTCATAATTATCAAACTTTAATTGACCGGTTTGGCTTTTCTATATCTACTTTTAGGATAACAATAATTGAAAATTATTTTCTTGTGAATCCTATTGCAAAAGCAATGAATGTAGTTAACAAGGCAGGTAAATTCCTGGATGTTAATGTTACACTCTGTTTCCTGACATAGGTTTTCGCAAATATGATACGTTGTATCTTGAACATATGAACCAGCAAGAGAGATAATCATTGGTTTATCCTTGATAAATAACATACAACGATGCATACAGTAATTATTATTATTTATATTGTTTAATCAACAGCTTGTCTGATAATTCCAAAGCTGCATACGCATACTCAACCTTATTATCGTTCGACAATTTGTCTAATGTGCGAGTGCCTGTCAATACAGTCTCAATGAAAATGGAAAGATATTTTGGTAATCGATTTAGAAAATAAGATGGAGCCATTGACGAATTCGGGGAGATGTTAAACAGACCTACTTGATGGAGATTCGCTTACAGCACGCACAAGAAGAATCGACATTGAAACTAGAACCGACAACGACATGTTTGAAAAAATTCAGTACCGCGCAAATCAACTCCGCAAGAGAAGATTGATTGACGGGTAATAGACACTACTAATTAACGATTGCATCATTTTTTGAAGAATAACAGTTTGTTCATAAACTAGATTATGGTCAACCGACTCCATGTGATTTATTCAATTATGTTTTAATATGAAGACGAAATTAAAAAAAAACCCCCCACAACTTGTACAGTCAACTCTGTCTATACCGGCATTGCCTATACCGGTTTCACCTTATACCGGTACAATTTCGCAGAACCAAAAA